GGCCGCGGCCGCGCTACGGCAAAGTGCAGGATGTCGTCCCGCCCATCTTCTACGCAGAGGACGAAGTGCGAGCGTAAGTCCGGGTTGTTCCACCCACCCCGAGCTCCGCCCGGCACCGGGACCTTCCCCTGCCCCGTCCCCCCCCATCCCGGGGGGTCACACAACCCCCCTCGTGTCCCTGCTCCTTCGAGCAGCGTTTTCCCTGCTCCTTTAAATGGCAGAAAACCGGCACCGCGCGTTTCTACCCCCCCTTTTTCGGTCCCTTTGTGGTGGTTCGAAAAACTGAAGTCTTTTTCTTTCACGAATAGGAAATTTTACAGAATTTATGGCAGTGGCCCAAGGCCTTTCGACCTGTCACAGTCAAGCTACAAATCTACTTGCCAGAGGTCAGATTTACTTGTTTATAAGCTATGAATGTTTCTGAAACCTGTTCCTTTTCCTTCTGGAGTCACCGAAGGAAAACGAGAGTAAAAATAATGTTCTTGAAATCCAGGTTTGTTGAAAAATTCTATGAACTGAAAGAAGAAGGAAATATTGATGAAGAAAAACTGTTTGAAGAAACAGGAAAAGCCCTTTTAGCCAGTGGGATAATTTTACAGAGAAGAGGAGTAGATAAAGTAAGTATTAAATACCCACAGAATTACTTGGCCAGTGCATTCAGAAAACTTCCTCACCAGGCCCTTAGTCCTGAGTTGGCCCAAAGTAAATTCTCAGCAAGAGGTTCATGCTCCTGATGGTTGTAATAAAAAGTCTTTGCTGTGTGGGTTGAGCTTTCTGTGTGGTAATGAATGTGACTGACTGAGGTTAAGGCACTTCTTGTGGGACAGAGAGAGAACTTGTTGTGGTGAGGAAAGATTTCTGGAACGTGGCTGCTCTGTCAGGGTTGGAAATCTTTACTCTGTTCATAACTGATTGTAATTTCTTCTGAGAATGCTGCCTTTTGGTTGAACACCCTCCAAAGGGGGAAGAGCTGTTTGTAACAACTGCAGTTTTAAACTCTGTTAGCAAAACTAATTTATGTTCTCCTGTGCAATATGCTCATCATCATATTCTCCTCATCATCCTCTTCTGTCTGGACTGAGCACCCCTAGAGCTTTCCTCAGTGAAAGGGGCTGAAGAGGAACAGAAGTTGGTTCTGCCCTAAGTGCCCTGTGCCATGAGCATGTGAAAAGATGACATCACCATTACATTTTCATCTTTTACCTTGAGGCCAGGAGGCTCTTGCCCTGGTGATACCCTGTTGTACCTTCACAATAACCTAAGCATGAATGGGAATTTTTCCTTCAGCTTTTTTTTTGATGTACAAGCTGGGCCTGCTGCTTTCTGTGGCTGCCTTCAGTCACTCTTCAGCAGGTGCTTTTTATGACCTTGTTCTTGGTGATTGTAACTGCAGGGAGCACAACAGGATCACCAGGGTGTTGGAACCAGGGATTCCGTCTTGCACCAGCAGCTCCAAACTGTGTTGGAAGAGATACAGGAGAAGAAGAAGGATCAGGAGGAGCAGACACCTGAGCTGGCAGAAAAGCAGAAGGAAAATCCCTGCCCCTCCTGACAGCCATGCTGGTGTCCTGGGGCCCTGCAGGGTGTTCTCTGGCCCTGCAGTCACTGCTCAGGAGCCAACATTTCTGCCTCCACAACCTCATGGTGAGGAGACATTTTCATAGGGGGAATGTGCCCTAGTGATCCAGCTCTAGTGCCTTCCCTGGTGGGGTGTGGGGCACTCCTTCCATCTCCCCATTAGTACAATTGGAGTTATTCCCCTTTTCAAGTGAGTATGAAAATGGAAAAAATAAAGACATTTATTTTAAAATGGCAAGTCCTGTCTCTTCAGGTGTCTTATTTGCAGTTTTAAAGATGTTTCTTCTTGCACCTGGTGGTGCAGGCCTTGTGACAGTCCTGCTGTGGAAATGGCAGAGCCCACCTGCCTGGGGGCTTTTTTCTTTGTATATTTGTGCTTTTTTCTTTTTTGTTTGGGGTTTCTCTTTGTATCTTTCCCCTTTGTTTGTTTGTGTTTCTTTCCCCTTTGTGTGTGGTTTCCCTTTTTTTGGTGTGTTTTTCTTTTTAGAAAGCCAAGCCACCGCCACAAGCTACCAGGTGTCAATCAGGTCAGACCAATCTTCTCTCCCCATCCTTGTCTGGCTTTTCCCCACAAGGAAAAGAGGGAATTCATTTCCCCTTGGTCTGTACCTCCCTCCCCCAGACACATCCCTCACAGTGCAGTTTAGTGATGCTGCTGTGTGAGAAAACTCTTGCAAATCTCTTGTGTAGTGGCAAAAAGGATTAAAAAATGCCAGTGGTTGGCTTTTGTGGTTGATTCCCTTCTTGGTAGCAGAGCTGTTACTGAGCTACCCTCAGTGGGAATCTGGCAGCTGGGGGTGAGTTTTCCTTCTACCCAATTTTCTTCCTTGAGCCAAACAATTGTCACCAGCCCAAGGGCAGGGAGCCCAACACCTGCATGTCTCCCATGCTGCAGCTTTGTGTCTTTGCCTTCTGTGGCTTTTTAGAGGGAAACATTTGTATTTTCAGCAGCTTCTTCTGTATTTTGAGCTGTTGATGATACTGTTGGCTTGCCAGAAGTTGCAAGTGGAAATACTTTGGAAGGAGAAGGGCTGTGAAGTCACAGTAACACGTGAGAGTTTTCTCCCTTCACAGCTCAGTGGTCTGTTTGTTGGCACTTCTCTAAAAAATTGCCAACATCACTTGAGGAGCCTTTATCTCCCTCATCTGCTGTAACTGGCTTCATCCTTGCATCATTACTGAGCTTGGCTCTCTCTTCCTTCAGTTCTCTGAAGCATATTGAGCAAAAACATCTTAAATTTAGAACACAGAGCAGCAGCTTTGCAGTGTGCCCTGGGTGAGTTCTTGAGCAGGCAAGAAGAAAGTTTGCATTAATTTTCTTTATTTTGTGCTGGGGAAAAGTCCTTGGGGTGTGTCTCTGGGCAGAGCAGCCCCAGCTGAACTGGCTGCTCTGTAACGAGCTGGGGTGGGGATTTACTCCCAGGTGCAGCTGCAGTCTGGGGAGTGGCAGCCAGAGACTCCACATGCCTTTTATTCTTCTGCATCTGAAGTGACTGTCCAGCTATTTTCACTGTTAATTTTCATGACCACACGTGGAGGGTTTGTTGCAATTTGCTTCTCTGTGCAAACCTGGTGTGTCCAGGAAGCCAGACAAGGAGTTGGAGAGAAGAAACTTGGCTTGGTGCAGCCTGGAGGGGTCCTTGTGCTACATGCTTTGCCCAGCTCCTGGATAAGGCAGCAAGGAATGTCACTGATGTGCATGTGCTGCTGTTCTGAAGGTATGTGGCCAAATTGGAGGGAAAACTGGGGGAAAACAGAGAAGTGGGGGAGGCTGGGAGCCCCCATGTGGTGTTACTGCTGGGAATTGTTGCATGAAAGCTGGTGGAGCAGAGCCAGGCTGGTGGATGTGTCCAGCTGAGTGGCTCTGGATGAAGAAGCAGTTCAGGATTGTTCAGTTTAGAGCAGAGAAGGCTGGAGGGAGATCTCATCGCCCTCTATAACTGCCTGAAAGGAGGTTGTAGGGAGGTGGGTGTTGGACTCTGCTCTTGAGTAATAACAGGACTAGAGGAAATGGCCTGAAGTTGCACCAGGGGAGGTTTAGACTTGATATTAGGAAGGATTTCTTAACCATAACACTGGTCAGGCACTGGAAGGGGCTGCCCAGGAAGGTGATTGAGTCACCATCCCTGGAAGTGTTCAAAGCTGTGTAGATTTGGGACTTTAGGACATGCTGTACTGGCCAAGGTCTTGTTTTTTCCTTTCATTTTTTTTGGAGGATGGTTTAACTCTGTGATCTTAGAGGTCCTTTCCAGCCACGAGGATTCTGTGATTCTGAAATCTGTATTCTTGGGTGCTGTGGCTTTGTCACAGCTGATGTATAATGGGGAAGCTCAAGAAGTAAATCACATCAGCTGAAGTGTTTGGTGCAATTAGGAGAAAAGACCTTTAAGAGCAGAGGTCTGTGTTTGCTGGATCCATTTGGGGGCTGGGATTGAAATGCCCAGCACCTGAGAGAGGAACTCAGCCACTTCTAATTAAAGGTCTGAGCCAGGGCCTGGGGTGAGCGAGCTATTATTTATCAATCATTTATCCTTCAGCTTTGCAGGAGGAGGGTTGGGAATGACCTGGGGCCATGGGGGGAACTGAGGGGGATTGTGCCCCTTGGCTCCCCCCACAGCTTAAGGGGGAGTGAAGCTTTCACCTCCTTGCAATCCTACACCCCATTACAGAGCAGCAATATGACCTTTTCTGGGCTCAATTGCTGACCTCCTTCCTCCTGCAAGCTGAGTAGAGCGTGTAGTTCCTCTCTCAGATTGTCAGGCTATTTTTAAGTGACAATAAATGCCAAAATATCAGTTACAAGGTTCTTTACTCCTTGAGGCATCAAAAAGACAATTGCAGGAGGTTGGTGACCTCTTCTACAGCTCTGAAAGCCAGCCTGAAGGGTTTCCCAAGGTAAATTTCTGACGTTTTTAGGAAGTTTTAAGGGGCAGAATTCCACCTGCTCTCTAGCAGGTTGCCCACGTGGCAGAGCTGGGCACAGGAATTCTGTGGTAGCACATCTCTGACCATGCTTTGGTAGGTTATCTGTTGTGATGTGTTGAGGGAACTTAGGCTCTAATAGGGTCAAGTATTATCTTTGGAGCAGCCAAAATTCATTTGTCAGCTTTGCCAGAAAACCAGATCTGAGGCTGCCAATGCCAAGCTTCAGTGAGGCAGGTAATAAAGCAGTTGATGTTTTAAAAATGTGGTTCCAAGTAAAATACTAAAATGTTGGCATTGCTGCCTCTGTGCTTTGCCTCTGCACACAGACACACACACATTGGAGTCTTAAAATCTGCCCCACTTTGAGCTTTGGAATACTCCAGAAATCTGTATCTGTTAGGATCTGAGCTGGAATTTATTGTGTTTTATACTTGCCTTTTTATACCAGACCTGATAAAAGATGAGCTAAGATCTGTCAGAGAGCACAATGGCCTTTGTGACTCTGGGGTGTGCCAGTGTCATTGCTGGGCAGTTGCCTTCTTTGTGTCACCTGAATTTTGGAAGTTTTACCTGGGAGAATTGCCAGGTCTCCTGAAGGAGCTGGTGCTGCTTTTGGGGGTTCCACCCCATGATGGGGCTCCGCTGCTGCCCTTCCCTGGGGCTGTTGGTGTGGCCAGGAGGACAAGCCAGGTGTTTGTTGGGGAAAAACGTGTGTGGTATTGGAGTGGGGCAGGATGTGTGTGTTGAATTTCCACCCTGGGAGCGGGGGTGGCACATGGGGGAGCTTCTGCTTTTGGGGCAAAACCTCAGCAGTGTCGGTTCCTGCCCTCTGCCCAGTTTCCTTTGTAAATTAACACTTTTGTAACAGATTGGGATTGGTGCTTTTGGTGGTGTTTTGCTTCTGCAGCACCAGAAGTGCCCATGTAATGGCAATTCCCAGCCCAACAGATCTGGGATGAGCAGGATGCAGGGCAGGAGGAGGGAACAGCGGGAGGGTCAGAGCATCCCATGAGAAGAGCAGTTTGAGCCTTCTCCCCTGGGCTGGGGAATTGAAATCTTACTGGGATGTGGCAGGGATTTGGGGTGTCCCTCTGCTGCTTTGAGACCCAGAGCACCAGTGGTTCTGGGGAGGGGACCCCCAGGAGCCCTGGCTCAGCTGTCCTTGGCTCGTTCCCTCTCCCTGGGCTGCTGCTGCCTCTGTGCATATTGCAGGCTCATTCTGATGTGCTCTAATGCTATTATCCTCCAGAAATTGAAATCAAGTCTGAACCTATAATGTTTCACTGGGAGGGAATTGGGGTTATATATTCCTGTGTACAGCAGCATTCTATTTCAGTCATAGCATTTAATTATGATTGGTGTGTTAGTGCCCACCAGAGCATAACAAATTGTCATTATGTTATTCTGCTGAGTCTAATTTAATTGGCAAGTTGTCACAAAAGCAATTATCCATCATTTATTTTGTTGCCATAACCACATCTTGGAGAGCACCTGCTGTCTGAAGTGGAAAGGCTCTGCAGTCTCTTGGTCCTGGATTTCTTCCACTTTCCTGACACAAAGACACCATTTCCTCCTCTTATTTAAAAATATGTTCCTCATTTCCCAGCCTGGGCTTGTGCTCAAGACTGGGAGTGCTGGAGGAGATGCACTGTGTGACCTGTCAGAGCATCCTGGGAGTCAGGGAGACTTATCCCTGACTTAGACCTTGGATCCAGCCTGGCCCAGTGGCTGTGAGCAGAGCTCAGATGTGTAGATCATGGACCCTGCCTGTGTCCTTAGTTCTGGAATGTCAGGATGAAATAAGGAGTGAAAGAGAAGTTGGAAGGAAAAGAGATTCTGATGGTTTATTTCAGTGTCTAAATATAGGAAGGTGGGAAGGAGTGTGCACAGAGAGCTGCAGAAGGGCTTTGTGGGCTCTGCCCTGACCCCCTGAGCTTGGTGGGACCCAGGACCACATGGAGCACCCACCTCTGCTCCCCACCTGCTCCCAGAGCCACCCAAACCCTTGCCCAAGGTGCTGCCACACAGGCCAGTGCCCTGCAAGGAGCA